ACGCTTGAAGATCATGAAGACGGGGTCATGTCGGTGGCCTTCTCACATGACTCTGCGCTCGTGGCATCGGGCTCCGAGGACATGACGATTCGGGTGTGGTGCACAGCCACGGGCGAGGACATCCAGACGCTTGAGGGCCATGACGACTGGGTCATGTCGGTGGCCTTCTCACACGACTCTGAACTCGTGGCATCGGCCTCCCATGACAGAACGATTCGAGTTTGGCGCACGGCCACGGGCGAGTGCATCCAGACGCTTCAGGGCCACGACCGCGGCACCATGTCGGCGGTCTTCTCACACGACTCTGCGCTCGTAGCGTCGGGCTCTTATGACAAAACCATTCGGGTCTGGCATAGGGCCACGGGCGAGTGCATCCAGACGCTTGAGGGCCATGATAACTGGGTCACTTCGGTGGCCTTCTCACACGACTCTACGCTCGTGGCATCGGGCTCCGAGGATATGACGATTCGGGTTTGGCGCACGGCCGGGGTCGGGTGCATCCAGACGCTTGACGGCCATGACGACTGGGTCAGGTCGGTGGCCTTCTCACACGACTCTGCGCTCGTGGCATCCGGCTCCGATGACGGAACGACTCGAGTCTGGCGCACGGCCACGGGCGAGTGCATCCAGAAGCTTGACGGCCATGACGACTGGGTCAGGTCGGTGGCCTTCTCACACGACTCTACGCTTGTGGCATCAGGCTCCGATGACAGGACAATTCGAGTGTGGCGCACGGCCACAGGCGAGTGCTCCCAGACACTTGACGGCCATGACGACTGGGTCAGGTCGGTGGCCTTCTCACACGACTCTACGCTCGTGGCATCGGGCTCCGATGACAGGACAATTCGAGTCTGGCGCACGGCCACGGGCGAGTGCATCCAGGCGCTCGAGGGACATGAGTACGGGGTCACGTCGGTGACCTTCTCACATGACTCTGCGCTCATAGCATCAGGCTCCTATGACAAGACGATTCGGGTCTGGGGCACGGCCGGGGGCGAGCGCATCCAGACGCTTGAGGATCATGACGATGCGGTCACGTCGGTGGCCTTCTCACATGACTCTACGCTCGTAGCGTCGGGCTCTTATGACAAGACCATTAGGGTCTGGCATAGGGCCACGGGTGAGTGCACCCAGACATTACACGTCAGCTTCACAACGTCTCGTATATCGCTTGGGGCGGGCGATGTAACCCTGTTGACTGATCGCGGTTCTTTTGCCATACGGCCGATCCCACAATGGCCTTCTGCTGAGCCTCCGGCCGGCTGTGCACCCGCAGGCGACTACCCTCTAAGTATCAGCGCGGATAGTTGCTGGGTTTCTTGGAACGGATTTCCCATCCTTTGGCTACCGAAAGATTATCGACCTTCCGCTGCTGCGGTGTCCGGATCGTTCACGGCGCTAGGCTGCGCATCTGGTAGCGTCATCATCATTGGAATTTCCCACGAGGTCCTCCCAGAGGGTGTTCCGGTCGGGCGATGGCAGTTGGCGGCTTAGTCGGCAGGAAGAGGAGCAGGTCCAACGGTGGACGGCCTAGCGGGAGAAGCTACACTTTACGGTCAATCTCTTAGTCCGTGAGTCACTTGCCAAGTTCTGAATTGGCGAGAGCCACGCCTCAAACCATTGCTGGGACACAGCAAGATTTGCGCCATCAGGGCAGCAAGGTCTGCCCACGGAAGGTTGGCGAAGTCAGAAACTGAACTGAACTGAACTGAATTCCTGCTCGGTTTTAGCCGCTAATTTAACCGTAGCCATGCCCGGTGAGCGGGGTCTGGCAGGCAGCCGACGCGGCCGACAAAGTCAGAAATGCGGTAGGCGTCGGCGACGACCAAGACCAGCCATGGACGACCGCCGGCTAAGGAACGGCTAATACCGGCCATGTTCCTCGTTTCGCGTCCCAAATCTAGACCCACTTTTTCCCTCGCCGTGAGAGGTGGTCAATGCTCTCCAGAGCCCAGAAAAGAGTGTGTGTGGGAGGACGGCGGTTTCGCTCATAGCTATAACAATTGCCCGTACATCTTCGACCCCTGGCTCTTTCTTCTCGCCCATTTGGCATGACTCCCTGTGCCCGTGTGCCTTCTTTAGCTAGCAAGATTTGAAGGCAATTCTCCTAGAGCGTCATTCCATGGAACTACGCAATGCTGATACTGTAGTACTGTGCCCTGCGTCTTTGCTTAACATTCGCGTTCTGACAACAATACTCTGAAGGGGCTGTTGACGAGAATCGACTTAATTTTGCGGGCCAGGTGCACATCGTCACATGGTATCCGTGGTTAAAGAGAACATCAAGTGATTTCACGAATGAGTCACCGTGGAACCTCCAAGATGGTGTACTACCCACTCAGTGGCTCCGTTGCCCCGCGGAAGGCGGGACAGGCAGTGCAAGAGCAGCTACAAATTTCGTTTCAAGACAATGATTGGTATGGACCACCAATATGCTGGTGGCCGTCGCAACCTATGCCTCTACCTCGACTATCCTCCACTGAGCGATAGAATAATAATGGGCAGCAGAGTGAACGCCAAGGCATGTCATCGGTATAATTAAAGTCACAAGAGCGATACAATGTTACACCACAACACAGATCTATTGTGCAACGTTCATATCCGAATCGTCGCAAAATTATATCAGGGCATCCACACCCCCGCCATTCCAACGTCTGTCCCCTTGCTCGTCGAGTTTATCTCCATGGAAGCAGCCTCACTATGTTGCAACAAACTTTTGCCGGTGATCGAGGTTCGATTATGGCGGCATTATCGTACCGTTTCGGGTGCCTTCCTCCAGTGCTGGGGATGAGTCAAAGCTGGGAGTGGGGTCGGCTGGAGCTCTTGGCCCGACAGCGGAGGCATAGACCTGAAGTGCCGTAAGAAGTAATGCAATAAAAATGCGCGTCATGATGAATGAGACTTGCGGATGTGCCAAAAATTGTATTCGTGGTTGGCTGGACGGAAGGTTCTGTATAAGTACTATATCCCATGAATGAATAAGAGCGGCGCAGGCTGGGAGACGGAAGGGGACAGAACGGACTTTGTTGCTCTTCTCTGCAAATTGCTGCAAGGGTTGGAAACAAAAATAGTCAACGGAATAAGTGCCCGCAATTTAATTTGGATACATTACAGTACTGTACATAAGTCTCAGGACAGTGTATCTCAGCAGAAGAGAACGAATAGAGGCATGGCAATCTTCGCATAGTCTCGGCCCTTCAAAGTTCCAAATCAAAGTTCAAAGTTCGCGTTTTCAGTCTATATTCCTACTTGTCATTGCACAACGCGGCGTTGGAAAACTTCAGTTTGCATCTGTGCCATCTGACGAATATCATGTTTGCCTTGGTAAATCATTGTCGCCCTCTAAACTTTCGGCAGATATTATGAAAGGCGTCACCGGGCATTCCGACCGACAGCAAAGTAATTACTGTACATGGTCAAGTGTTTGGCGGGGCCTTCAATGCCAAGCCTGCTTTTCAACAATGCCGAGCACAGGAGCGCCCAGGACATACTCTCGGCCTACTCATAGAGGGTGAGCCCAGACATTATCGGCAATAGTCCATCAAGATGGACGTTAGTTTGATTGTCCCCTGGTCATTGCCAGAGTATTGGTCGACGTACACTCAAAAGCTTCAGTATCTTGGCCATCAAAAGGATTGCTGGGCCCAGTTCTCACAGCCGCTCCTCTGCCGCCACCCACCATGGCTACGTGAGCTTCACGTGCTGTTCGTAAAATCGGAGCATCTGACGTAGTTAGGATCCTCCTGGTGTGACTCTTAATTAGACGTGGCTGGCTCACCATTTGCGGGCAGTGTTCGTACATGGCGGACGTACCATGCCTTGTCTTGGACCCGTTCTTCCAGGTCACGTATACTACTAGATTGCCACCGCCCTTGTCTTCGCAACCATCAATGGATGAAATATCCTTCTCCCATGAACCTACAGGACGAGCCGGTATCGCCGTTGAAGACATATGGGCCGGTTGTTGGGTTTCTGTCGGCGTCGGAGCTTCGTTACGGGCTGATTTGCCTGAAACCTTGCGCCCTGCATCCTCCACGTCCTGGACTAATCTATCGCGGCCACCAAGTCTGTCGAAGTACTGCCGTAAGAGAACACAGTTCCTGTAGTGGTGGGTTAGTCCATAGGTATTGTGTCGTGATGGCGTCATACTGTAAGTGTTTCTCAGGCTCCCAGGTCATATCCGACTGCTTTTCGAAGCCCTTCCATTTGACGTGAAACATCAAAGAACCCTTGATATCGTCAGCAAAATTCGGATCAAAAGCGTAAGGCATCTGGACGTGCATTGCCCGCGATTTCGTGATTCGTGATTGCTTCAACTATGTACCTTAAAAACCAGTTAATTGCACGAATGGTGGGGCACACGACGGTCTTACTCATCTTTGGCAAGGGCTCGTGCGTTGCCTCTACCTGGTATACTGATTCTGTCAGACACGGCGAATTGGCCAACGTGGCCCAGCTTGCGTCGGGAGCGAGCTTTGGTGTGAGTTGACGAGGGCTGACGCTGGCCTGTCATCGACCTGGCCATTTTGGCTCTTGGGAGCTTCTCGCGGCCTTTACGGTTGCGCTGGCGAGGCCACCACTCAAACTATATAGCAGGGGCGGACTTAGGCATTAGGAGGCAATTGCACTCCTTCCTTTCGAGACTGCTAAAGCGGTGCGTTTCTAGTGTTCTTGCCATACAGTACATGCACTAGTGCCAGCTACGTTCTGCAGGTGGCCCCTGTGCGAGAAGCTCTCCATGCTATGGCGGATAGAACGATAATGCCAATGCAAGTGCGGTGGCGACTTCGCTGCTTTACGACGCAGAGTGGAGCAGCATAATGCGGCGGAGTGGGGGTGAACGTGGAACGCTGATGCCGTTATGCAACATCACACTATCCTGTGTCAGATTTTGGCTTCCGGCCATGTGAAGTGCAACATGTTTTCGTACGTGGATCTAGCTGATGGCTCCAAGTGGCTGCACAGAGCAATGTTCTTCTGTAACATAATGGCGATAAGACGAGAATCGCGCTGTTTGGGGGCGAGGCAGCATCTGCAGGGAAGCTGCATCTGGCTCCATGGATGGCCTGTGGAAGCGAAGCAAAGATGGTGTCGTGAGAAGATGGTGTCGTGAGAAGATGGTGTCGTGAGAGGATGGTGTGGCAAGAAGATGGTGTCGTGAGAAGATGGTGTCGTGAGAAGATGGTATCGTGAGAAGATGGCGTCGCGAGAAGATGGTGTGGCAAGAAGATGGTGTCGCGGGAAGATGGTGTCGCGAGGTCTGATACCTGAGAAGATGATCAAAAAAAGGCTCCAGCCTCGTATCCTGCTCGCTCAATCGCCTCTCCTGCCTCCAATGTATCGTACTGTACGTACAGGACGGCATAGCGTGGATACTTCGACCCAAAGACATCGCTACTGTGACTTGCCATCATTGGAGCAAGAGGGACAAGCCAAGAAGAACAAACATCTTCGGCAGCACCGTGGCCGCGATGTCGATGCTACGCGCGGTGTAATGAACGAGTAACGGTCGACGTAATGCTGTAATATTCTCACGCTTCACTGACTCTCTCACATTTCCCCGCCACGTATGTGTAGGCATACGCGCAGTCCCAAAGCCTCACGTGTCACACTGCCAATACAATATTCTCGGCTTCCACTCGGCTGGATGGGCTTGGGGTCCAGGGTGCTTGCATCGGTGCTGTGGGGTGGTGGAGGTGGAATAATAGTTGCCAGACTCCTCAGAGCTTCTTTATAGTTTAAGAATCAAGAAAAGCAAAACCTCGTACAGCTGTTGCTCTATCGTAGAGCTGATGCACTCAGCCGCCAAAGAACTAAAGCTACGAGAGTACAACTGAATAGCCAGGATACAGTAGTAATGCAGTACTCAATATTCGACCATACTAAGCCCTCCTGAGACGTGACAGACGCGCCGCGCGTTGGATAAGCAAAGGGAACGCCGTAAGCAACACAAGAGTACGTGTGTCCAACAAATACTATGGTAGCACAGAAGAGGATCATCCGTGTAATAACTTCTTCGACCATGAAACCATCTCGGTTTTGCCCATGTAAGCAGAAATGTTCCGTATCCGTTCAAAACTAGAGTGTATGTTGAAAGAGTTGAACTGTAGCGGGATTGACATCCAAGATTCCTTGTCACCCCTTCCTAGAAGGGGTCTACTGCTCCTCAGGGCAAGCCTTTTCTGATATTATCGTACTGCGAGTCTGGGTAATGCAGATAATTTTGAGACGAATCCAGGGAACCCAATGACTGAAAGCTGGTGCCAATTAGGGAATCTGTTCCGTTCTTATCCGCAGAGGCTTCCCAGAACATGCTCCCACCTAAGGCCAACCGCTTGACATATGCAGCCTTGGTGCGCACAATCTCCGGAGTATCGTAGGAGACAAGCTCCTGCGTAGCCATATCGTAACTGAACGACGCGTTTGCAGTGTCGTCAGTTTGCACCGTGGCCCCGAGTTTGGGCAAGGCCTTGTAGTCCAAGGCCCCTGGCTCC